GCTGCTACTGTGTGAGAGTGTGTGAGTGTGAGTGTGAGTGTGTGTGTATATAAAGCGTTAACTGCTCAGTTAAATTGCCACAGTGATGATCGGTCTGTCTGCTGGTGCTTAGATGATTGTCCCCTAAGCCGGAAAATCTTTGTGCAGGATGAGGATGAGTGTGTAGTTATCCCGATCAGCACTTGCAGGCTTTGGGACCCTGTAAATACCCACTGATTAACTAATTTTACAGACAGTGGAAGGCATCCATGTAATCAAGGAGCAATATGAGCATTGGAAGAAGAACCCTCTGTGAGGGTACGGCAGATCTGATCCCAATGTAGTGGCAGCAATACGTGAGGATATGCAGTTCCAATCAGGGCCGGTGCTAGACTATTTTGCACCCTAGGCAAGATCAGCTACTTGCTCTCCTCCAGCGCCGCAGCCTCCAATCGACCCCCCCGTGCAGCCCCATTGTCCTGCCCGCAAGCTTCCACAGGCAATAGATAGATGGATGTAAGCAGCTGGGATAATAGCCAGACTGCTATTGGCTATTTTCATTTGAAATAGCCAATAGCAGATTGGCTATTGAAACACCAGCAAATGAGCAGAGGAGCAGACCTGAGAGAGAAAGTGATCTCTTAGTATTGCTCAGCTGGTCAGTAGGCAGGTGCAATAGCCAGCCTGCTATTGGCTTTAGCAATTTGAAAAGGGGAGGGCGGTGAGTGGCCACTGCTCCAAGCTTACTCCCATGATGGACTAAAATCTCACGTTTAGTTTACTATTTTGTATAGAAATTATAGTACATCATCACAGGAGTGAGCTTGAAACGGTGGCTACTTTACAATAGACACAGGGACCATAGGGAACAAAAGGAGCCACCCTCCAGAAGAAAGGACAGTGTCAGCACAAATTCAGAAATTATATGAACCAAGTGATGCTCAAATAAGGTTCATTATTGTTAACAGTTAAGGTACTTGAATGTATTTTTGAGATTTAATTGCTAAGTTTAGTGTCATGTTCAGCAATGCCTGTGATGCCCACTGTCCCTTCAGACAGGAATATAACATGTTTTACAATATGGTAGCACTCCTCACAGAGACAAAGATGCTTAAAGTTCTTAGAATATAGAGATAAGCTTAATGATTTCAAAGATAATTTTTATTTAAAGAAAAAATATACAAAAAAGATGTTACATAAAAGATAGACAAATAATACAACAGTAAACCAAAAAGGGAAAGTTACTTAGCGAAGTCCTGGGTTCTATGGGTTTCAGCAGAGTCCAGTCAATGAAGCAGAAAATGGATCTGGGATTGGCTTTCTCAAAGTAAAACTTTGGCAAAGGTTCAGTTCTTGATGTTAACCACTTCCGGGCCGCAATACATCTATATTGATGGCCCGCAGAAGTGGTTAAAACAAGAACATGGCTACTGCAGCAGCCGTGTTCTTGGTGTCATTTTTAACAGCCAGTCTATACAGCCGCTGGATTGTTTGTGCGGCGCCCTCCCCTCCCCCAGCCGCTGATCTCTCCTCCAATCATTGGACCCAGAAGTAATGTGTATGACATCACTTCCGGTGTCACTATTTACATTCTTTGACTCTTAGAGCCAGGAGAAGAAGCTGGGGAAGCAGATCTCTGCTTCTTCAGCTTCTTTGGGGTCCCTAGGTGACATTAGGGGTCTGAAAGACCCCTGATGTCTCCATAAAGAGGACCTGTCACACCACACACATAGGGGGCTTGTTATTGTGATAGCAATAAGGTTCGTGTAAAAAAAAATTTTATTACAAATTTTTTAGTTAAAAAGTAACATAAAAGAAAAATTTGTAAAAAATTTAAAAATGCACGCATACACAAACACATGTCGGTGCGCCTACACGTGAAAATGACAATTGCGCTACACATGTTACATATCGCTGCAAACACCAGAGTAAGGGCAATAATTCTAGAACCATTAATCACTTTTAGCACTAAACTGATGAGCGGTAAAAGTGTTTAAATTGTTCCTTTGGAAATTTGGGGTATTTAAATTTTTTGCGGCTTCAGGGGCGAACACAATTTTAAGGCTTGACATGTTTGGTATCTATTTACCCGATGTGACCCCATCTTTAATATTTTACCAAACAATTGGGTATTATATTATGTTTCTACATTTTAATTTCGGGTTTTATCCTAAAAATACTGGTTTGATAAACATCTGCACAAATACTGTGCGACATAAAAAATTGCAACTAGCATTTTTTTTATTCTACAGGGCCTCTGCTTTCAGAAAATATGTAATTGTTTGACCCGTCTAGGGGATTTCTAAGCACCTGGCTCCCCCAATAGCACTTACCACCTCCAGTGGCGACTGACAAAGCGAAGTCCAGACAGTAGATGAAAGCTGAATTTATTTTATTGCTGAACTTCAGGAAGAGAGGGTCAGGCACATCCAGAAAGAGGTAGACTCCTTTAAGCAATAGAACAGAGTAACTGCTGCCATCACAGACTAGAACCTTTAAGCCAGACACAGCAATCTGTTCAGAGAACACCAGGCAAAGCAGTACTTCAGAAGTCCTCGCACATGTTCATCAGTGGCTGACCACTGGGCCTCCAGATTCAGGCCAGTATCAGTGTCAGTATCAGGCTTAGGCCCAGCCGGTTCAGTCAGTCAGCACCAGCAGCCTCACCCCAGGGAGGCCTGGGGGAGGGAAGAGAGAGTGTTGCATCAGCCACACTGAACATTTATAGCTTCTCCCAGCATGCACCACTGGTCTGTACCATCTAGTGATTGACTAGGAGACACAAATGCCTATTGGCTGCTCTGCTCGGTGTGGCACAAACACACCCAGCAACAGGCAGATGCAGCATCCATAGATTGTTCTGAAGAAATGAGATGAACATAACTACAGATCCATCTCAGACTAACTACAGTCTGAGAATAACTAAATTTCACAGCACTCCTGCTTACAGGGTGCTACAGTTAGTTTCACAAACATAGCTATATTTTTATGCACCCACATGTTACCACCCAATAACCCACAGATCATTGTGTTATGAAATTAGCTTTGTACAGATTCCAGATTTTACATACCTGTTGTGTATGCCTCCCTTAGAAGGGGTAGTGTGTGTTTTTAGCCCTTTGGACCTCCCAAGCCCAAGTGTTTAGTATGTCTGTTATCAGTATTTCCTGAGGCATCTATATATATTCTCATTAATGTATCACTACCAGGTCCCAAATTATGAATAGTAAGTGGAATTTGTAAAATAGTTTTACTGGCAGGGTTATTTGAGGGTCATTTGCTCGTAATCGGGCCAGGCTATCTAAGCCAGGCCTGAACTAACAACTGAGGTACATAGACTGTGGAGTGTGAAAAATTTTGTTTGAAGACCCTTTAACAAGAAAACAATGAAGGGAATTTATCAAAACTGGAGTAGACAAAATCTGGAGCAGCTGTGCATGGCAACCAATCAGCCTCTCTGTTTCATTTTCAAATCTTAACTGAACAAACTGAAGAGAGACGCTGATTGGTTGCCATGCACAGCTGCTCCAGATTTTGTCTGATCCAGTTTTGATAAATTCCCCCCAGTATGTTTAATCCATATCTGATTTGATCATATCAAGAAGTGGCTTATTTCAACAAACTGAGGGGTTTCCTAATTAGCCTTAGGGTGTCCAGACCTCATTACATCCTCACACAGCAAAAAACTTTAAAAAAAATGAAACCTCAAGACCAGGACTGTCACCTGACTGTTGATTTAGGTAAGACATATAGGAATTTAGTTTTTTTGTTCTTCTTCTTTAATAAAAAGGTATTCTTAAAGGATCACCTTTAAGAACAGTGGTGTCAGTTAGGGTTTTTAAACCCCCCTCCCGGAGGACAGCTTTCAGGTGTGATGAGTCTTTATCATACCTCCTGCTTATCTTCCCTGGCTTTGCTTTAATATAATGTAGTGCACCCACATCATAGTACTAATGTGTCAGATAATAAAGTAATTTTTGTTGGTCTATGGTGTCTTGTAGTTCTGCCCATATTTTACCAAGGTTTTGTGGCCATCCTCTGATAATATTGGTTAAAATGTGGCGTATTATCCAAACTGTTCAGCGCTTTCATAGAAATTCCTCACTCTCCAAGTGACCCAGCGAAAGATTCCATATATTTTCACAAAAGGGGATACTGTTCAATTGTAGGTTGGCATATGTCAACGCACATGCAAAAAAAGAAATCAAGAACAGCTTCATGTAATACCACTTCATGTAATACCACTTTTTATTTTAAAATTAATATGAAAGCAAAATGTATACTCACAACAGTCCATATATATATATAGCTTGTAGGTTCATGCAAATAATAGGAAGCATATGCCACTAAGCCAACTGGACATCAGAGAATTAACACAGGCAATGGATAGGTTGGGGTTAATGCGTTTCAATGGTTAAACTATCTTCATCAGAACCAAATCTAACAAATCCTAGGCAAAAACGCTGTTTAAATGTACCTGTATAGATTATATACACCCACAAACTGATGTTGTCTATGTTAACGCTCTGATGTCCAGTTGGCCTAGTGGCATATGGTTTTTAATTTATGCATGAACCTTCAAAGCTTTTATATATGCAAACTCTTGCGAGTATAAATTTAGCTTTTATATAAATTTTAAAATAAAAAGTGGTATTACATGGAGAGGGCGCTGTTCTTGTTTTAATTTTTGAATTTATTAAGATATATTTAAAGCCAAAACCTTTTTTTAATTTTGGATATTTTTATTTTTTCTTATCGGTGTGCCATTGAGATTTCCCTTCACTTCTTGTACTGTAGACCCTACAGAAAGCAAGAAAGAAACTCTCCACAAAAGGGATTTCTCTAAAAAATGCAAAGCTAGCACTTTGTAATTGATTAAATTTTATCAGAAAATAATAAACTAGAATGTAGCAATATAACAAACAGAAGCATAATCCATTTTTAAACTTTATTTGCGAATGATGAATAGACAGAAGTGGTGTGGAAATGTAATCTGGAAAGGGCATATTTATTTCCTAATGATTACTGTGTATTAAAATAGTAAAAGCATCTCAACAAAGGTGCACTGGGTCCTGGCAGGATGATGCTGTCTTATCCACCTTTTGACCTGAGATAAACAAACAAAAAGATATAAACATTATTCCTTTCTTTTTTTATATAATACATATTATGCAGATCCTAAACATTATTAACACAATCAAAATTAATTTGTATAATTGGCTGGGCAGCAAGTGTATCATCTGCGGGGCATAAATTGTATTATCGGCTGGGCATGAAGTGAATTATCTGCGGGGCATTCATTTTTATTATTATCAGCTGGGCATTAAGTGTATTATCTGCGGGGGAATTAATGATTAATTATTATAGTCTGGGCATTAATTGTATTATCTGTGGGGCATTAATTGTATCATCGGCTGGGCATTAAGTGTATTTCTATGGGGCATTAATTGTATTATCTGTGGGGCATTAATTGTATTATCTGTGGGGTATTAATTGAATTATCTGTTGGCCATTAAGGTAAAAAACGACTGGGCATTAAGTGTATTAACCGTATCAGAGTAATAACTGATATTACCTATTAGTTAATACACTATTAGTACTAAGTGTAATAACTGCCGGGCGTCAAGGGAAATAACTCCTGGGCATTAGTGTAATATCTCCTGGGTACTAGTGTAATAATAACCGCTTGAGTACATCTGGGACTAAAATAAATAACCAGTAAAAAAAAAAATGTCTTCCATGAGTGGGTATGCAAACCGGTGCACATCTTGCGCAATGTATGCGTTTCTTGAACATGCGTTCGAGGGTGAATACTGTTGCGCTTGATGTGAGCTAGTTGTTTGTTTGGAAGCCCAGATTCTGGATCTAAACAACAAACTGCCAACACTGAGGAGCATAACCAACATGGAAAGGAGTCTGGACTTGATGCACCAGGCTCTGGTGGAGGGCGGCATAAATGAGGATGGAGGTTTGGAGGAGCAGGATCCCAAGGTGGGTAGCTGGGTTACTGTTAGAAGACGGGGTAGAGGGAAGAGTGCGAGAGAGGCCAGTCCTGAACTGATACACCCCAATAAATATGCCAGGTTGCAGGATGTTGGGGATATTAGTTCAGGGGTGACATTGCTGGAGCAGGAAGCCTACTCTATCCTCAGGGGGAGTGACTGCTCCAGTAAGGATGGGAGCAGGATGGAGGGACAGGAAAGACAGATTTTGGTGGTGGGGGACTCTATTATCAGACGGACAGACAGGGTAATCTGCCATGGGGACCGTGAGCATCAAAAAGTCTGTTGCTTACCGGATGCTCGTGTTCAACACATTGCGGAACAGATGGACAGGTTACTGGATGGGGGTTGGGCACGACCCAGCTGTCATGGTGCACATCGGCACCAATGACAAAATAGGATGCAAATGGAGTGTCCTAAAAAGTGAATTTAGAGACTTAGGTGCTAGGTTGAAGAAAAGGACCTCCACGGTGGTATTCTCTGAGATACTGCTGGTGCCACGAGCCACTCCAGAGAGACAGTGAGAGTTGAGGAAAATGAACAAGTGGCTTCGGAGCTGGTGTTGGAAAGAGGGCTTTGGGTTCCTAGAGAACTGGGCTTCTTAGTCAGTTATCGCCTCTTTAGCAGAGACGGGCTGCATCTAAAAAGGGAAGGTGTAACACTTTTGGGGGAGAAAATTGTTAAAAGACTGGAGGAGCTTTTAATTTAGATAATGGGGTGGGGAGGGAATAAAAATGGATATAATAAATATAGAGCAAGTAACTAAAGGGGCGATTAAAAATATTGAGGGCTGTAATACAAAGGGGGATAGAGGGCTCACTCCAGTCAATCTAATAAGTAATGTATCAAGTAATGTATCAACCATACCAAGGTCTAATAAAAAAAAGTAGTTGGGCTCCAGAAATGAGCAATAATAAAACTCAAACTTGCACACCAATGCTAGAAGTCTAGCAAACAAACTAGAGGAGCTTGAAGTTATGCTACTCGAAGAGGACTTTGATATAGTGGGAATAACCGAAACTTGTCTAGACAGCGCACCTGACTGGGCAACTAATGTACAAGGGTACAACCTGTTCAGGAGGGACAGGGTTGGTAGAAGGGGTGGAGGGGTATGCCTATACGTTAAAAACAATCTAACTGTGCACATACGAGATGACATCACGACAGAGGGTTGAGATGGTGTTGAGTCTTTGTGGCTATAACTGGATAAGACTGATGCTAGTCGTAAACTAATTGTGGGTGTGTGTTATAAACCTCCAAACATAGGGGAGGAGGAGGAGGCTCACCTAAATTCCCAATTAGAATTAGCTGAGAAGCAGGGAAATGTTGTTATAATGGGTGACTTCAATTATCCGGACATTGATTGGTCAAATGGAACCTCTCATTTTATAAAAGCTGGTTGTTTTCTGAACCTGTTACGGGACAATTTCTTGGATCAGATGGTTGATGTCCCAACCAGGAAGAATGCTATACTAGACTTAGTCTCCAATAATGCGGACCTTGTTGGGGACATAGCGATTCGGGATACATTGGGTAATAGTGATCACAGGATGATTACTTTTAATGTTGGGTACAGAAAAGAGAAGTGTGTTTGTCTGACAAGAACATTAAACTTTAGAAATGCAAACTTCCATAAGCTGTGTCACCTAGTATGCAACACTAATTGGGACAACATATTTCTAACACCGGGCACTGACCAGAAGTGGGATTGTTTTAAGAATACATTACACAATGCTATTGCAAAATGCATACCATTGGGAAACAAAAATAAAAGATCAAGAACTAAGCCTGCATGGCTAAATAAAACGGTAAAACAATACATCAAAGAAAAGAAGATAGCATTAATAAGATATAAGATGGAGGGGACTACATTGGCATTCCAGAACTACAAGGACTGCAATAAGAGATATAAACATGAAATCCGGGCAGCTAAAATAGATTATGAAAAGCATATCGCCACAGTCAGTAAAAAGAACCCTCAAAATTCTTCCAGTATATAAACAGTAAAGGGTAATCAGAGCAGGTCGGCCCAATAAAAGACAAAAACGAGAGATTAGTCACAAACGACAGGGAGAAGGCTGAGGTATTAAATTAATTTTTCTCCTCAGTATACACTCAGGAGAGAGACGGGTTTAATGGAGATAAGAATGTGAGTTGCTCAGTGCGTAAAACACCGCAGTGGTTGACAGTAGCCGGGGTTCAACAAAGACTTGATAAACTTAATGCAAATAAATAAGACCAGATAACCTGCACCCAACAGGTACTTGACTTCCCTGGCGGTCTGATTATGCAGTATTTTTGCATGCCAAAGCGGTACATTGTTTTTCATGGAAATTTGTTGTTTTATAGTGTAGGCCTGTAATTCTTAGTAAATCTTAGGAATAAGTCACCTAAATATGTCCAAACAAGAGTCTAGTAGACATCCCAGATATGATAAAGTTTAAAACACGAAATTAAAACATTATAATATAATAAATAATTATAAGAAATTATAATATAATAAATAATTATAAAAAATTATAATATAATAATTAAAAAAAATGGTCCAGTAAATGGTAATTCTGGGGGCGTTGCCTGATTTGTGCAACAGTCAATAGAGTACCAAGTTCGCACATCACTGAGCTCAGTCGCAGAATCATTGCTGTCGTAACTTTCAGTGTCTGATGACAAATTTCCCAACGAATCGCTATCGCTCAATTCTGCAAGTGATTCTAAATTTACTATCGCTGTTTTCTACCTGGTCTAAAACCGCTTTTGACCTAAAGGGACGCTTTTTGGATGCCATGGACGTTCTCAAGTTTCCAGGCAGAAAGAACAGTAAAAGTGCAGGCAGGGCACTGAACAAAGCTCTAGGGACAAAATTGAAGTGAAATGGTTTGATACAGAAATTTAATCATAGCAGATTGCATTGTATTGTGTGTATTCTGTGTATATTGCATGTTTTCACTTTTGAATTTCCCGCCGGCTCCTCCCCCCGCTGTGACGTTGAAAGATGAAATTATAAGTCGGATGCCGGCATCGGCCGGGGGGCGCACACAGCAGAGGGCACCGCGGGCTCGTAGGGACAAGGTAAGTGACACTTTTGTGTAATACCGCCAGGGAGGTTAAAGAACTCAGCCAGGTTATAGCGAGACCATTATTCCTCATCTTCAAGGACTCCATAATGACTGGTAAGGTACCAAGTGACTGGTGGAAGGCTACAGTAGTGCCAATATTCAAAAAAGGGTCAAGATACCAACCTGGGAACTACAGACCAGTCAGTCTAACATCAATAGTATGCAAACTGTTAGAGGGAATATTAAAGGACTATTTGTGGATTTTGTTCATGGCAATGGTATAATAAATGATAATCAGCACAGATTTAGAAAGGACCGTTCTTGTCAGACCAACCTACTAACATTCTACGCAGAGGTGAGTAGAGATCTAGATGGAGGGAGGCCGGTGGATGTGGTATATCTAGATTTTGCCAAAGCTTTTGACACGGTACCACAGATTGAACAATAGCATGCTATGCCAGGCTGCAGCAAACAAAGTGGCAGATTACTGTCTTGTATTAAAAAGGGAATGTACTTTAGGGACAAGGCAATCATTTTGGCAGTTTATAGATCACTGGTTCGGCCTCATCTTGAGTATGTGGTTCAGTTTTGGTCACCGATCCACAGAAAGGATGTCCTTGAGCTGGAGAGAGTCCAGAGAAGGGCAGCTAAACGAATTAAGGGGCTGGAGGACCTAAGCTACAAGACAAAGTTACTAAATTTAAACTTGTTCACGCTGGAAGTGAGGAGATTAAGAGGAGACATGATTTTGATGTACAAAATGTTTAGTGGTATTGGCAACATCAGCAATAAACTGTTTACGGTAAACTCCATAACAAAGACTAGAGGTCACCACCTAAAACTGGTGGAGAAAAGATTTAACCACAAGGGGCGTAGGGGCTTTTTTTTCAGTTAGAGTGGTTAAAAGTATTTAGATACTTTCCTCAGAGACCATAACATACAGGGGTACAGGTACTTTTAAAAACTAGACCACACATAGACTTGTGTACACACACACACACACACACACACACACACACAAGGTTTAACTTGATGGACCTGTGTTTCTATTCAACCTCAAATACTATGTAACTATGTAAAAACAGTACTTTCACTCTCAAAAGTTAACGCTAAACATTTCTGTAACTTTTATGGACAGAGCTGTTTGGATACTTAAATAATCGAGTAACAATTTTGCCTCCATAGATTCTTAAGAGGAAAGGCTTTTAACCAGTTTAGGACCAGTATACTGTGTATGTATACAGTGGGGAAAATAATTATTTGATCCTCTGCAGATTTTGTAAGTTTGTCCACTTACAAAGAAATGAAAGGTCTATAATTTTTTTATCATAGCTGTATTTTAAATGATAGAGACAGAATATAAACTAAAAATCCAGAAAAAACAAAATGTTACAAATGGAGTTGCAGTTCAGCGAGTAAAATAAGTATTTGATCCCGAAGCAAAACATGACTTAGTACTTGGTGGAGAAACCCTTGTTGGCAAGCACAAAGGTAAAACATTTCTTGTAGTTGGTTACCAGGTTTGCACACATCTCAGGAGGGATTTTGGTCCACTCTTCCTTACAGATCTTCTCTAAATCCTTAAGGTTTATTGGCTGTCAATGTTGGCAACTCAATGTTTTAGCTCCCTCCATAAATTTTCTATAGGATTAAGGCTAGGCCACTCCATGACCTTAATGTACTTCTTGAGCCACTGCTTTGTTGCCTTGGCGGTATGTTTTGGGTCATTGTCATGCTGAAAGACCCATCCACGAAACCATCTTCAGTGTTCTGGATGAGGGAAGGAGGTTCTCATCCAAGATTTTACAATACATGGTCCCGTCCATTGGCCCCTCAAAGTAGGCCTGTACCTTTAGTAGAGAATCAGCCCCAAAGTATAATGTTTCCACCTCCGTGCTTGACTGTAGGGATGGTGTTCTTAGGGTCCTAGTCAGCATTTTTCTTCCTCCAAACACATCGAATCGAGGTAATGCTTAAAGTGCCAATTTTGGTCTCATCTGACCACAGCACTTTCTCCCAATTCTTTGCTGAATAATTCAGATGTTCATTTGCAAACTTCAGATGGGCCTGTACATGTGCCTTCTTGAGGAGGGGGCCCTTGCGGGCGCTGCAGGATCTCAATCCATGGCGGTGTATTGTGTTACCAGTGGTTCGTTTGGTGACTGTGGTCCCAACTGCCTTGAGATAATTCACAAGCTCCTCCCGTGTAGTTCTGGGCTGATCCCTCACTTTTCTCATGATCATCTTTACCCCATGAGGCGAAATCTTGCATGGAGCTCCAGACCGATTGATTGGTATTTTGTATTCCTTCCATTTGCCAATAATAGCTCCAACAGTTGTTTCCTTCTCACCAAGCTTCTTGCTGATAGTCTTGTAGCCCATTCCAGCCTTGTGCAGGTATACAAATCTTGTCCCGAACGTCCTATGACAGCTCTTTGGTCTTGCCCATGGGGGTGAGGTTGAATGGAAGAAAGAGATTCTGTGGAGAGGTGTCTTATATGCATAACCAGTTGTCGTTAGGAGCACCTTCTTAAATTGACAGGACTAAATTGTGTACCACATAGCCAGTCTGTGGGAGCCACAGGGGCGGACTGGGCAGGGTGGCAATTGCCCCCGGGCCTCTCTGATGTCACCGCGAAGGCCCCTTGACCCCCGCTATCACCTGCACCCGGCCGCCCGCCGAATCCGACGTTGCTCTGTGATCGGTGCGTCAGCTGCTCCTCAAGGAGGTGCTCGGGAGGCCCCAGCAGGGGGCCCTCTAACATGCTGCGTCTACCTGGTACAACCAGCCCGGATCGCCTCGGTATGCGAGCCGGGCTGGCTGGATCAAGCAGACGCGGCCCTGTAATCAGGCGCTGTAGAGGGCAGCCCGTTGGGTAGTTCTGAGGACCCCCTTGAGGACCGAGCGGCCGCCGATCACAGAGCTGCATCGGATGCGGGCCGGCCGGGTGCAGGTGACAAACAGGCGGCAGAGGGAGAGAGCCACTGCAGCTGCGGCCACAGACACCCCCCCCACAACCAGGGGCCATGGAGCCCCCCACTGACCACCAGGCCAAGGTAAGGTGACAACATTTTTAAAACAAAATCCGGGGACATTTTATCCCCGGGAGCATAAAACAAACTTTTTTGTTTAAATTCCTCCCATCTCCCACGCTGTTAGAAGCTGCATACGGCGTGTGCTGGTTACTACTTAAACTGGCGCGCGCTGTTTGCAGCTTCTGAGAAGATACGCTATTAGCATAGCGAGGAAGCCGGCTATAGAACCGGCGGATCGCTTGTATAAGCTGCCGGTCCCCCCTCCGGTGTCAGAATGCGGAAGTGATGTATATTACATCACTTCCGCATTCTCGTGTCTCTCTCCAGCTTCAGACGTTGGAGAGAAACTGATGAAGCAGATCTCTGCTTCATCAGCTTCTTCAGGGGGGTCCTAGGTGACATTAGGGGTCTTGGAGACCCCTGATGTTTCCATAAAGAGGACCTGATAGCAATAAAGTAAAGTGGAAACAAAAATTAGTTTCCCCCAAACAATTTAAAGTTACACATAAAAAAGAATTAAAATAAAAAAATTGACATGCAAAAAAAAAAACCACCAGTGGTGATTAAATACCACCAAAAGAAAGCTCTATCTGCCCCCCAAAAATGGTATAAAATTCATTTCAGTACAGCGTTGCATGACGGAATAAACATCAGTCAAAGTACCGCAGCGCTGAATACTGAAAAATGGCCTGGCCAGGAAGGGGGTCTAAACACCTGGTCAGCAAGTGGTTAAAGGCAGTTTCATAACTAACGCAGGAAAGATAAAGAATCTGCATATCCCACATAACTACATACATGCCAAATAACCCCCCTGCCTTAGTTCAACAGATTTCCCATACTTCATATTTCCTGGCATGTACAGGCAGGAAGTCATTTACATCAGTGTGGTACTTCTAGGTTGGGGGTTGCATATGTAGTTGGTCTATAAAGTGCAGTGCACTTTCATAATTTACTAGGGATGCACCTGCAACAATAACTGCACAGCCCACCTGAGACTCAGCACAGCCCTCCCATGATCTTGTACAGTCCTCCTGACACCCTGCAAGCTCTCCACCAGGATATTGAACATCCTCTCTCTTCTGACTCTCTCTCCATCCTGGCTGTCTCTTTTCTCTCTTGCATGGCTGTCTCTTTTCTCTCTTGCATGGCTGTCTCTTCTCTCTCCCCTGGCTGTCTCTCCTTGCTGTCTCTCCTTGCTCTCTCTCCTGGCCATCTCTCCTCTCTCTTCTTTCTCTCTCCTGGCTGTCTCTTCTCTATCTCTCTCTCCCCTGGCTGTCTCCTCTCTCTCCCCTGGCTGTCTCTTCTCTCTCTCTATCCTGACTGTCTCTCCTCTCTCTCACTCCTGGCTGTCTCTCCTCTCTCTCACTCCTGGCTGTCTCTTCTCTCTCTCACTCCTGGCTGTCTCTTCTCTCTCTCTATCCTGGCTGTCTCTACTCTATCCTGGCTGTCTCTCCTGGCTCTCTCTCCTAGCTGTCTCTCCTCGCTCTCTCCTGTTTATCGCTAAAATAAAATTGCAGTGTGGCGCTAGACTGTTCGGGTTTTGCTTGAAGAAAAGGAAGCAACCCTTGCAGCACCATTCTGTTTACTATGCAATCAGCATTGCATAGTGTTGCTCCGCCTCTGCTGTAAAATCAATATTAAAGAGGGCCCTGACAGTGCACGCACAGTATGCAGCTTCTGACAGGTTGCACTATTAGCGTAGCGGGAAAACCCACTGCGCAAACCAGACACACAGGATGGTATTTCATATCACCATCTACATAAATATATGTTGTACTGCAATGGTACCTTTTTAGGACTGCACAGCGCCAGAGGATTCAAATTTCTTTTTCCTGCCCTCCATTCCGCTAAGGGCATCAACATTTTTTCTCCAGTCACCAACTTCCCGTATATCCTGTGTGGCACAGAAATACACAGTCATAGTTCTCAATTAATAAAACACAATAAGTACACATAGCAATGATGGTGTACAAAGTGCAGTATTCCAAAATCAATCAGATTCAAATTTACAGTAGACAGACTTTGAAAAATAAACTCCAATCAGTTGCTTTTTTCATGTTGTGCTTTGCTTGTTATTCCCGGCGACATAAAATGTTTGTTATAGCTTTTATTATTTGTTAAATATATATAGTTAGTATAGAAAAAATAAACATGAAAAAGTCCAAAAATTTAGTCCTTGAACTTTTTCTCCCTATAATCCCTTTATGTCCCAGACCATATGTTTGAATGCAGAGATGTTGTAGTTCCACACGTTATACCTCTTTAGTCTCTGTAGTCTACATACATGTATTTTCTGTTGTTTGAGACAAATAGGCTTTTATTTTGTAGCAGATGTGGATACATATATTTTGTTTTTTGTTTTTTTTAGGAAGAATTAGTGAAAAGATAGAAAATAATTGTCCTATAACTTTTAGCAATACAACTTTAAATAGTTTGTGCATCCCCAGATAGTTACCTTTAACTACAATCGACAAAGTCGGCTAATGAAAATATCAAATAAATGTGATTATCCAACATTCTCTCTCTATCTCTATATATTTTTTCTTCATGGGAACCTATAAAACTGATCTATTGCTGCAGGGAGTAGCTGGACAGAGATGCTTCCAACTCTGTCTGAGCCTCAGAACTGACAGAAAGTGACAATTTTCTGAGAATTTTCTAAACAAAGGGTATTCCTGTTGTGCACAAAGCATGTAGACAAAGGACTACTGTGCCCCCAAAATACTGACTTTACAAAATAACAAATGGAATAACATAGAGGTTAGAAGGCTTATTGCAGAATAATACTTTTGGTGCATTGGATTAACATTGCCTGCTACAGAGCACTCCTATTGAGTGCTGTGTAGTGGGATCCAAAGCCCAAGAGCTGATCGTTTCAACTTCTGGGATTAACACTGGACTTTGACTGTTAGGCCCGGTTCACATCGGGGCGTTTTGTAGCGCGTTCCTACGCTCTGCAAAACGCTCAAACACCGAAATCCCATTATTTCCTATGGGTATGGTTCACACCTGGGCGTATTGCAGGCCGTATGAACGCGCTACAAAACGCCCTACGCCCAAAGAAGTACAGGAGCTTCTTTGGGGCGTTTTTGTCGCGCGTATCCATTGGGATACAGCCAGGTAGCCCTTGGAAACGTGCGTTTGTCGCGTGTTTTTTTACCGCGAATCGCGCGAAACAAAGCGGGCAACAAACGCACATATTCGATACACCTAGGTGTGAACCCAGCCTTAGTGTTTCAGCTATAACAGACTCTGTGGTTAAGCGATATACCTCATATTAGGGGATAACATTTTTTTGGAGGTACCACATCCCATAAATACAGTTACTTTAATAGATTATTAAAAAAACAGGATTCTTAAGGTACCACAACACAAACTGGCATATATAAAACTCCCAACTTTTATGAATATATATAATTGTTCTGTATTTATTTCACATGTAGATAATCATTAGATTACATATGTAGTTGGTCTATAAAGCGCAGTGCATGTTTATAATTCTTTTTAGAGGTTTATTGTTCCATAGCACAGATCCTGTTTGTAATTGTATCTATAGGTACATCCCTAGTATTGGGAGCACAGGAAGCTTTGCTGCAGCCAAGGAACTTGATGACATTTTCTTAAAAAATTCTAAATTCTGCTTCAGCAGCATAGATTGAACTAGAGAAGCAACATCAGAAATCTGCTCTGCATATGTATGTATTGCACAGAGTATATGTATCTGTTGCATACATATACTTTGGCATATATGGGCACTTACTTGGTGTGAAGCTCTGGAGAGGGGACACAGTGGGGGTGACAGCTCAGGGCATAGTGCGGGATCCCAGCAGGCCCCAGGCAACAAAGGTGATCGGAGTGCGGAGAGCAGGGAACGGGGCCGAGTTTATTAGTGGGCAGAGCCTGGAGCCGCGTCCATACTGCTGTTTGTAGCCTCCTGTCTGTAGAGCATCAAGGCCGTGTACACAGACAGGGGGCAGGGCTGGTGCACGGCTCCTTGCCTACACAGGTGAGGCTGCCAGCCCAGCACATGTTTATCTTATGTGGGCTGAAGAGGCAGTTGCTTTGGGCCCCACAACAATGACTGGGCTCTGGGCACCTGCCCCTTTTGTCCTGCGTTAATGCTGCTGTACAGCTGGCCATGGCTTAACTTCAAGTTCATGGCAAGACTTTCTATATTCCCACTGTGTTCTGCTTTTGCCAGGTGTTTATGGCACTTCATGGTCTCTTAAAACAGAATTCTAGTTATAAAAAGATGACATCACTTTCAGAATTATCAGTTGTACTGGCAGTTGATGAAGTACAAGTACTGCATGGTCATTGTGTACAATCCAAAATAAAATAGCCAGATCAGGTAACTGTAATCTCATTCTCATATTTGTAGGTCAAGTCTAACTCCACTTTTGCAGAGGAAAAAACAAACAGCCCTCCCTTGGTCAGTTACATACAATACACTGCAAGCATTTTAGAAAGAAAGTCAAAGCTAAAGTTTGCTTTGACTTTCTTTTCCTCATCCATCCATACAGGACCCCTGGATCTTCGCAGATGACATCGATTCTACCCTTACCAAACGGTGAGTTTCTACACTCCACACCTTGTATTCATTGTGTGCCACATCTCACTTCTCCATCGTTCTCCGCTTGTGTTCCCGGTGACCTCCCACCACTCAAACCGGTAAGGACCACACCTGTTCGCCTCCACTTCACCGTTAAGCAAGTCGGACCACCCCACCAGACTACCAATCAGTCTACATTTACTGGTCCACTTAAAAAAAAAAATTTAATATGTATCTGTTGCATACATATACTTTGGCATATATGGGCACTTACTTGGTGTGAAGCTCTGGAGAGGGGACACAGTGGGGGTGACAGCTCAGGGCATAGTGCGGGATCCCAGCAGGCCCCAGGCAACAAAGGTGATCGGAGTGCGGAGAGCAGGGAACGGGGCCGAGTTTATTAGTGGGCAGAGCCTGGAGCCGCGTCCATACTGCTGTTTGTAGCCTCCTGTCTGTAGAGCATCAAGGCCGTGTACACAGACAGGGGGCAGGGCTGGTGCACGGCTCCTTGCCTACACAGGTGAGGCTGCCAGCCCAGCACATGTTTATCTTATGTGGGCTGAAGAGGCAGTTGCTTTGGGCCCCACAACAATGACTGGGCTCTGGGCACCTGCCCCTTTTGTCCTGCGTTAATGCTGCTGTACAGCTGGCCATGGCTTAACTTCAAGTTCATGGCAAGACTTTCTATATTCCCACTGTGTTCTGCTTTTGCCAGGTGTTTATGGCACTTCATGGTCTCTTAAAACAGAATTCTAGTTATAAAAAGATGACATCACTTTCAGAATTATCAGTTGTACTGGCAGTTGATGAAGTACAAGTACTGCATGGTCATTGTGTACAATCCAAAATAAAATAGCCAGATCAGGTAACTGTAATCTCATTCTCATATTTGTAGGTCAAGTCTAACTCCACTTTTGCAGAGGAAAAAACAAACAGCCCTCCCTTGGTCAGTTACATACAATACACTGCAAGCATTTTAGAAAGAAAGTCAAAGCTAAAGTTTGCTTTGACTTTCTTTTCCTCATCCATCCATACAGGACCCCTGGATCTTCGCAGATGACATCGATTCTACCCTTACCAAACGGTGAGTTTCTACACTCCACACCTTGTATTCATTGTGTGCCACATCTCACTTCTCCATCGTTCTCCGCTTGTGTTCCCGGTGACCTCCCACCACTCAAACCGGTAAGGACCACACCTGTTCGCCTCCACTTCACCGTTAAGCAAGTCGGACCACCCCACCAGACTACCAATCAGTCTACATTTACTGGTCCACTTAAAAAAAAAAATTTCCCTGGTCGTGGCGCTTCACTCCTTTGTTCCTTTTTGTTTATGATTACACGGGTCGGACACCCCGGTACGTACTATCAGGAAGCTGCACACCACCTTCACACCTTGCCCACACAAGCAACTGGTGTATGAACACCCTCGTCAGAGTGCTGTATATCTGGACTGCCCCTTCAATTTTTGTATCAGAACATGCGTTCTAACAGATACTGATATGGATGTATTACTTCATATAACAGAATGTCCATGCGTTGACATAAATACTGAATGGCTATTTTACTTCATAAGCCAGTACATATAACCAGAATATTCATGCATTCACATAGATACTAAATGGCTGTAATACTTCATAAGCCACTTCATGTAACCAGAACGTCCATGCGTTCACATAGCTGCTGAATGGCTGTATTACTTAATATAACAGAATGTTTACATGGATACTGAATGGCTGTATTACTTCATATATTACTACTTATATGAATAAGAGAATGTCCATGCGTTCACATAGATTAGGAATGGTTGTCTTACTATAGCAAGGAATATATAACTGCAGTAAGTTTGAGTAATGGGGTTTAAGAGGTACTTGCAATTGTGCTGTCCGGAGTTTACAGGATCAGGCTGTCCAGGTTAGAGGCATAACAGACTCCAAGAGGTTACAGTAGCTGTGTGGGAACAGGATGAAGAGGCTGGCTTGATAGGTTTCAGCAAAATAAGTTTTGGGTGTTTGCTCCAAGTATGGTCAACTCGGATGGATGAATCCCACTAGGGAAGGAGAGTGGAGGCGAATGCAGCATGTCAGGTTGGCAAGCAATCTTAAAAGGTCTGGTATGACTTTTGGGAATCCCACGCTTTTTTTTTTTTTAAACGGGGTCCCTCCTAACATTCCTACCAGACCTAAAGGGTCTGGTATTGTTTGGGAGGCGGAATTGCACGCTTTAAAAAAAATATTTACATTTTTTTTTTCTTTAGAAATGTCAGTTTTGCTGCAGCAGGTTCTATACATTGTATATACAGGTTCTAGATGCACCACTTTACAGGCAGGTTAAGGGGAGCCCACAGGCACGATATTTAAAGGAATTTTTTATTTTTATTGTTACCCTTTAAGCAATGTTAAAATAACTGCTATTTTTAAAAAGTTTTTCCCCCTATTGATTCATGTCCCCCAGGGCAGTACCCGGATCCCCATACACTTTTTATGGCCAATAAATTGCATATAAGGCTTCAAAATGGGGATATTTGATTTTCAATGTTCTATCCCCATAGACTTGCATTGAGTTCGAGTACAATCTGGAGTGCTGCCTAGCCTGGGGGTTTGCAGATGCTGGAGTGCATAAAGTATTTTCCTAGGCCATTCGTATGGAGGAGGCCTGTGCTGTTGTCAGAGGAGGAGAACCAGGGAAACTGATGGCTACTGGAGGTGCCTGAAACATAGTGGACCTCAGGAGCAAGTCTGGTGTCTCTCCTGCAGAGGATCTGTGCTCATCTGTGACTCAAATTTATATTCTCTGTTCTTTAAATGGATCTACACTGAGGGTAAATCTGGAGTCTATGTCTGTACTACCCTTGATGTCTAGGATCCCTATACCCTCTCTCCCCAGTGTGAAGATGTTTTTCAGCATTGTACTTCTGGAGTGGATATCAGCTTTGCGGGCATCAGAAGAGGGCAGTAAATGCTAATGGGGCAGCTGAACCCCAAAACCCCTAGACAACTAGTGATGACCTGGGTTATTCTGGCGGCTCCTGATGACAAAGTATACTTATCGTTTGTGAGTTCCCTCTCCGTGTTTTGTGGACGAACTGCAAGGGACTCTGCTGATTTTCAAGATATTGCGTGCTATAGAAGCTGAAGATTGGCATTGCATGCTGTTAGTAAGACTATCATTATTTTGACATATTTAGACATCATGGTGGCCATTATGGCCATAGGCACATAAAAGTATGACACCCTTTTTTTAAGGCTTTACTTTTTCTTTTAGAACAAAATTCTTGTAAACTGTACATTCTAGCCAACAAGAGAAAGAGATGTGGTCTGTGCAACCATTCAATGCACAGATTATATGCTAGATATATCCTCAAATGTCTAGAGATATGGAAGAGAACTGTGAAAGAAAAAGAATGAAACAGTCACTACAATTTATACATGTTCTGCCCTAATGGCCCACAACAGTTTTTTGGGAGATACAACCTTGCACACAAACAACACTACAACACTTACCTTATCTGTATCATCTTTTTTGGCTTGCTTAACTTGTTTGAGGTTGGCTCTTAAATCCATGGCTGCCTTGTGTTTCGTGCCTAAAAGTGCTCGCATCATGGCATCTGCTGACAAACGTACTCTCCGCAGTGTTGGGCGTTTGAACTTTCCTCGGAGGTCTAAAATCTTTCGATTCAAGTCCTCAATCTGTACAATAAAAAGGAACATTATTTGAGATCAGAGTTTTTTTTTTCTTTTTTCTGTACTCAACCACTTGCCATCTGCCCATTATGAATACACGGGCGGACGGCAACCTCTTCCCAGCGGGTGGACGTACATGTGCATTAATTTTTTTTTCTGCTCGCTCGTGCAGAATCCTGCTGTGTATGTAAACAGCTGATACCAGCTGTTACATACAAGCAATCGGCCAGCTTGTATGTAACAGTAGATCAAAGTCAGAGGGGTCATCAAAGGCATTCAAACACTACAAGGAATGATGAAAAACTACAAAAGATGTAAAAAAGCAACCATGGCTGCAAAAAATAGAATATGAGGAACACATAGCAAGCTAACGGAACCCCAAGTCATTCTTTAAATATATAAATAGCAAGAGGGTAAGGACGGAACATGAAGGCCCCATAACGGATGACAAGGGGAGGTTAACTATCAGTGACAGGGAGAAAGCGAATGCTTTTCTTGTCTTTACAGATGAGACAGACGTTGGTAGCGATCAAGGCATCTGCTGAGGAAATAGTAACAAGAAATTGAACGCATCTCAGTGGCTGTCGGAGAGCAGAGTTGTACAGATCCTAGAAAGATTAAATATTAAAAAATCCCCAGGACCTAAAGAGTTACATCCGAAGGTACTAAAGCAACTTAGCCAGGTCATAGCCAGACCATTGTACAACATTTTTATGGACACTAATGACAGAAATGACAGAAATGGTACCGGCTGATTGGCGAAAAGTGAATGTGATACCAATATACAAAAAGGGGAAATTAAGTACACCAGGTAACTAGGCCAGTCAGCTTAATGTCAATAGTGGGCAAAATATTCAAAGGTATGGTAAGGCGGTAAGCTCTCCAAACCTCCTCCTTGCCAGGCCGCCAAGCGTCTCTGGCAGCCTAAGTCCTTCAAGCCCCCCGGCAAGCCCCCATCCGCATGAAGGTCTGCCCCAATCTCTGGATTCCAGGGTGGAGGCGTCTTCGGGTCTTTGCAGATTTTTGGTTGGCTCATGTTTCCAACACCTGGGTGCGGGAGCTGGTTTCTTCGGGCTACAAGATCGAATTTCTGTCTCACCCCCAGGGCCGGATTTCCACAAGGCCACCGAGGCCCAACCTCAGGGCGGCAGGGAGCGGAGGGGCGGCAGCGGTGTGTAATCCCCTGCGCCCGGAACATGCAGTTCCGGGCGCCAGGGGTAAGTTGTTTTCTACATTTAGCCCTGCTTTGGGAAAGCAGGGCTAAATGTAGAGTGAGCTAAATGTAGAGTGAGGAAGCCGCTTGTTCGTTCGTTCCCCCTCCACCCCCACCTATCTCTCTCCTCGCTGGCTCCACCGCCGAGTCTCTCTCCTCACTGGCCGCCAATGCGGTGAGCAGAGCGTCAGGGTTACAATTAACCCTCTTCCCCTCTCAGCTGTCACAGGAGTTCCATCACAGTCCTGTGGTAGAACTCTTTTGGAGATGACAGGGTCAATAAAGAGAACCTGTCACCTCCAAATGCTGTCACACAGGGGCTTGTTAGCTCCTGTGTGATAGCGATAAAGTTAAGTGAAAAAAATTGATTAAAAAAAATGTAATATAAATAAAAAATAATTAAAAAATAAGAAGAAATTAACTAAGTTAAAAAAATAAAAAGGTGATTAAAAATAAAAAAATGTATGAAAAAAATAAAATTTAAAAAAATTTAAAAACTAAACGATAAAGATACATAACAATTAAAAAAGTTAAATAAAAGTGATAATAAAAGTTAAAAAATTAAAGAAACAATAAAAAAATTTAAACAAACCCTGCCGCCCTTGCCTTCCGGTTGCCATTCTCCATTGATGGGGAAGGGGGTTGGAAACTGGCCTTGGAGCAGCAGGGAGATTAAATGCAGCCCTGCTCAACCTGGGACAGGTTTTCCCTTCCAGCATGTGACTTTCCCCTCAATGACTGGCGGATCTTCACCGTGCAGTGGCGGACCTCTTGTCTCAGGGGGTGATCATTCCAGGCCCTCCTCGGAGAGGTTCAAAGGGTTCTATTCAAACCTGTTTACCGTGCCCATGAAAGAGGAGGTTTGACCAATCCTATACCTCAAACGGTTGAATACCTTTGTACGGGTGCGCAGGTTTTGGATGAAGTCGATCAGATCTGTGGTGGCGTGTCTCCATCAAGGGGATCTTCTAGCCTCCATCGACATCAAGAATGCCTACCTTCATGTCCCCATTTATCTCTTTCATGAGCGTTATCTTCGTTTTATGGTTGGGGAGGAGCACTTCCAGTTTGTGGCGATGCCTTTCAGTCTGGCGTCAGCCCCTCGAGTGTTCACCAAGGTGTTAGCCCCGAGTCTGGCATTGTTACACTGCCGGGGAATCTCGATTGTGGGGTACCTGGATGACCTTCTCCTGAAGGCAGAGTCGCACTCTTCTCTGGTGGCGGATCTGGAGGTCACCGTACGATATTCTGAACTTCAAGAAGTTTTGGCCCGGGTTTTTCTTCCTCAGAAAAAACTTTTGAAACTCCGCTCCCACGTGAGGTTCTTAGGGTTTCTGAGTTGGCGGCCTTGTCCTGCAAGTCACCGTTGCTTGTTCTTCATAGAGACAAGGCTGCTCTCCATCCTCGACCGGCCTTACTACCTAAGGTTGTGTTGGTTGTGTTTTATAGGGTGGATGTTTTAACATCGGCGGATGCTGGATTGGGGCGCAGGATTTTGCAGGCTGTTCTTTAGTGGGGTCTCTGTTGGGAATTTTGGTTGTGTGCCCATCCCTCTGCCTGTTACTGCTTTGTGACGTCCCTACAGTACATGATCTATGATCTGTTGCCTGTATCCTTCAATGAACGGAGGAGAAAATAGAATTTTTGTACTCACCGTAAAATCCTTTTCTCTCCGTTAATTGAGGAACACAGGTCCCGCCCTCTTTATTTCGGTGTATACTCCTAACTGCTTGTTACTTACTGGAGACTTGTCAGCAGGTGGGGGGTTTAACCACCAGCAGAGGCCACCCTTAGGGTGTCTTTGTCTTTTGTTTTGTGGCTAGCATCCTTCTCCTGCAGGTGGCAATATACCATGATGTACGATCTGTTCCCTGTGTCCTTCAATGAACGGAGAGAAAAGGAATTTACGGTGAGTACAAAAATCCTATTTTTCTAAATGGGCAAAGGTTGTGAGTGGGGTACCCGGTCCTGGGACCGATCCTGTTCATCTTATTCATCAATGACATAAGAGTTTGGAATAAATAGTTCTATTTCAATTTTTGCGGATGATACTAAACTGTATCTGTAGGGCCGTAAATTCCTATAACAGGCTTCTGTTTATTCACTAGCAGTGCCGCAATAAGCGCTAGAGCCAGGAGTGAGTAAACACTGATGGTCCTGGTTTCCACACTGCGCTAGTGCAAGTGGACGATTTGGACCTTTCAGTGCCTTGGTTTGCAGATAGAACAATTGCAACAAATAGAAATCAGGGGTTTGAAGAGAGGCATATCACCACCGCATGGATACATTTGTATAAAATAGGATAAAGTTTAGTAGACACTGAATAAATAATCTAAAATCATATGTACAAAGGATTGCACTTAACTATTATTGCCAGGAGCGTAAGCTCATATATTGTATCACATCCCCATATATCCAACTGCATTCATTTGATACCAACTATATTTGCAATCGGAGATTGGTATATCCAGTCCCAACGCGTTTCGCATATTGCTTCCTCAGGGGATCGTGGGAGGAACAGAGATTCCTACAACGAGTGGGGACGGGGATAGTAATCCACCGATAACACCACTCTGTCTGCTGTTGCATCGGGGACCCCGATGGTGTAGTGATCCTTCAAAGTTCAAGCATCTCCATTCGGCAATATGCAGCCAAGTGCATTGAGAGCATTTCCTGCACCTATGGAGACCTATATTTGTTAATGCGTGAATTATACTTTTAATTTCCTCAAAGTGACTCTTAGTTAGACTGTCCCTTAGAGACCTAGATCTTTGAAAAACTAGTTCTGGTTGATCTTGGATATGTATACCTATTATTCGGTCTGATGTTAGAATTGGCCAGTGTTCAGTAAGTATCTTGCGACTTTGCGAGTTTTGTCGATTGTATGTCAAAATTAGTTTGGTGGTAGTTGGTGTCTCCAGGGTCACCCTTCTTTTTATATAGCAAGTCAGTTCTGTTTTGGTTGTTTGTCCTTTGAAAGGCCTTCTTTAGGCAGGATTTGCGATATCCCCTCAATATTAAGCGTTCTTTAAGTAAGTTTGCTTCGTGCAGAAAGTCGGAGTGTTGAGTACAATTCCCTTTTAGTCTAAGATACTGTCCATAAGGGATTGTTCTGATATGGGGTGCCGGATGTGCACTCGTAGAGGGTAATATCGTATTGCCGCCGTGGGTTTCCTGTATAAAGTAGTTGCAATGTTTAGGTCATCCATAATATAGATTTCTGTATCCAAAAATGAAATTATCTTATAGTCACATTGCATAGGGAACTTCAAATTATACAGGTTATCAGAGAGCAATGTCATAAAATCCAGCCATTCCTGATGTGATCCCGTCCATAAAATAAGGACATCATCAATGTATCTTAGCCAAATTAAAACGTGACTAAGACCTTCCATGTATTTGTCATCCGACATCAAAGATCGCTCCCACCCACCCAGGTACAGGTTGGCATATGAGGGAGCACAACGTGTCCCCATCGCCACCCCCTGCACCTGGAGGTAGTGGGAGCCAATAAATACGAAGACATTGGTTGTGAGCACATGTTCTAAAAGGCTCATTACGAATTCCACGTATTCCCATTGGGATTTAGGTCTCTCTAATAGGAATTTATTGATAGTTTTTAACACAAGTACATGTGGTATGGAGCTATATAAAGCTTCAACATCCACAGCTACTAGTAAAGTGTATTTTGGGACATTTACTTCATCTATAAGTTGTAAGTACGAAGGCAAAGTTGAAACATGCGGTCGTAGGAAATCATCTACAAGCTTACTAGCGTGCTCGTTCTGACACGAGATACCTGAGATGATTGGACGTCTCCAAATCCACAATCTCAGAAAATTAGAATATTACATGCAATCAATAAAACAAGGATTGTACATAGAACAATATCGGACCTCTGAAAAGTATAAGCATGCATATGTACTCAGTACTTGGTTTGGGCCCCTTTTGCAGCAATTACTGCCTCAATGCGGCGTGGCAATGAAGCTATCAGCCTTTGGCACTGCTGAGGTTTTATGGAAGACCAGGATGCTTCAATAGCGGCCTTCAGCTCTTCTGCATTGTTCGGTCTCATGTCTCTCATCTTTCTCTATGCAATGCCCCATAGATTCTCTATGGGGTTCAGGTCAGGTGAGTTTGCTGACCAATCAAGCACAGTAATCCCCCAGTCATTGAACCAGGTTTTGGTGCTTTTGGCAGTGTGGGCAGGTGCCGAGTCCTGCTGGAAAATGAAGTCAGCATCCCCATAGAGCTCGTCTGCGGAAGGAAGCATGAAGTGCTCAGAGCATTGTTGTAGGTTTAATTCCCATTTAGTTTTAAGATCTTTGTCGATTTTTGCCACAGTGGGAAAAATTTGTACCCTCAGTCCCCAAGGGACAACATTTTCCCTGGTGTATCATTCAAAATATTTGATATGCCAGTACACCAGGGACTTCTGCTCTAAGAATCTCTTTAATTTGATAATCAAGGTATTAATCTCCAGCTTAGTTGAAGTATGGCATGGAAAATTAGATTGAATTTTGGACATAAGTTTCTCCCATGCATTGCCACAAAAGTCCACCATGTCTGTCTAAGAAAAAGCAGCTCCCTATCCTATACAAAGATATCAAGCATTAGTGTCGGCAAAGGCAGAAAAACAAAATATATATCAACCCCTATATCTGCTCTACGCTTCAGTCACAGGATTTACATATATGTGAAGGGAATTGCCTTTTCCATTTCTGAAATAAGGGTGAATATAGTCAATCATCTGTGATCTATTGTTCTATACTGGCATGCACCCGATTGGATCCTTCCATGTAAGCAAGCAATACACATACATTTGACAATTTTGATATATATATTTGCCCTGTATAGACATGTCATTTCTAATACATTGTACATGGATTGCTCTCCATTTAGGATATACAGTTCCTGTCGCTTTGAAGAAGCCCAGTTAGGGCGAAACATGTCGGGACTATTTTGAATTAATTAATTAATCATGCCGTATAAGGGACTATTTTAAATGAATTAACTAATCATGCTGTATTAATGAATCATGTGATGCCAACATTACAAATGAAGACTATGTTATGAAATCATGTTTTATAAAATGGAATTTTAATTATTTAATAATCATTTTATACCAATAAATTAATTTATGAAATGTTATACTTAATAAGAGAGCTCCTAGCATTTCTTGAAAGCCCCTCCCCTTAGGGTCTTGGCATACCCTTGGGTGGAATTTATTTAATAGCTACCATATTTAATAACCCTAAATGGGCAGTGCAAAGAAAAAGGTAATTACAAAAAGTTTCAGATCTCCATTATTATACTGTGAAGACCAAAACCAGTTTCCACCCCCTGAGATCAGCCAATCAGATGGAAGGGGCTGGAGACTGAATATTACCACCTGGGTCTTCAAGTATTATTTTTCTATTCATCATCTTGGAACCCTTATAACTGTTTCCAGTTATGAACTATGGATCCGAAAATGTTTAATGGTTCTGGTTCCAGCTATTGTTCTGCTATCTGCAGAGTCCAAACTCTGGCACTCTACAGCTAACAGAATCAGAAATACCATAAAGAGACCCAATCATCAGAACTCCGCCATACTGTATAGTAAAACTCTGGTGTTTGGTATCAAGCGGCTCACCTTTGTGCCACCGTTCTTTTCCTGAAGGTTGTACGATCATATGATATGATATGATTTAGGCTACTAAATTTAAACATGTTCACATTAGAGGTGAGGAGATTAAGGGGGGATATGATTTCCATGTACAAGATGTTCAATGGTGGTAGCAACATTAGCGATAAACTGTTTAAAATTAACTCCATTACAAAAACTAGAGGCCATCACCTAAAATTGGTGGAAAAAAAATTCCAGCACAAGGGGCGAAGGGGGTTCTTCACAGTAAGATCAGTTAGGGTCTGGAACTCACTGCCACAGGCGGTGATTTCAGCAAATAATGTGGAATTGTTCAAGAAACTTTTGGACGATTTCTTAAGGGACCGTAATATACAGGGGTACAGGTACTCCTAGAATGAGATCCTAATAGGTTGGACTTGATGGACTAATGTCTTTATTCAACCTCAAATACTATGTAACTATGTATGGGACAGGAGTTATGAGATATGACCTTTTTTAAGCATTTTGAACATTGAAATGCACACATAGGTGAGGGGACACTTTTCTGGTGTCAAAACCCACCTAGAGACCATTTGTCTAGAACCTTCAGGAAGAATATACATTGCTAAATGGTTCCCTGCTGGGGAAGCACAACAAACCCACCTTTGATTTAATTAGCACTATCCAGCTAACAAGTTTATGTAAATTGTGTTACCTTTTGAGACAGCATTCACTAAGGAAATTAATTGACTCAGGATGTCTTATGACAAGAGGCCGAAAAATATGATATTTTTATGGCAGCACCATAACACTCTCTTCCAGTTATTACTGAGCAATAAATACTAAAAAGACCCTATGACTCAAGCCTGTTCTATCCTAGAAGTGTTGGTGTTGCTGGAGCTAAGAAAAGGGGCTGGTGTCTACGAAACAGGTAGGAGAACCTAAATTATTCCAGTGGCTCCTTCGGGGTGAGCACTACATATCCATATGTAGCGCTCAGCTGGGGATGCTAAAAAGCACTATAGTACTCTGCGCTACACATACATACAGTAATAGCCACTGCCATTCAGACAACTCTGTATTTTTTTCAATTAATTTAAGGCATTCTCTGATTCGACAAGGTGGAAAGGAGGATGGATGATGTCACAATCTCCACCTTCTCCGATCAGTAAAAGCATTGGATTTATTGAAAAAAAAAAATACAAGGCATTCCCTGAATGGCAGTGGTGCTGAGTGAGTGACTCCCTGTTCTAAGTGTGTAGAGGGGAAAATGCTGGAGTAGAAGTACTGACTTCTACGAGGCTTTTCAGCATCCCCAGATGTCCTCCAGATATCATATATGAATACTTACATTGAGCCAAGCTGGGCTACTGTCAGGGCTGGATTTACTCCACCTGCCGCCCCAAGGCCAGGTTCCACAATACGCCCCCCCGCGCTGCTACCCCCCCTCCCCATCAATTGAGAATGGCAACTAGATGGCAGGGCGGGGGATACGGAGCCGGTGGGTGGAGCCTCGGGCCGCCCCTTCGTGATTGGACGGCAGCAGACCGTAGTGTGCGGCCGCCGGACATCTTACACCGGCGCCCGCAACTTCCCCACAAGGTCACCGCTGCCGCCCCTCTGCGCTCTGCCGCCCCGAGGCCGGGCCTCGGTGGCCTTGTGGGAAATCCGGGCCTGGCTACTGTGAGTTTCCATAGAAGATAATTCCTCAGGTTCCACTTTAAACATTGTGTAAGATGCTAGCTCTCTCAGGGAAGGGAAACTAAGAAAATGCTGCCTGCAGAAAGCTCTTTTCAGGCCTAAACAGCTATTTGACGGAAGCTTAAGGACTGTTCTTTTTAAACATAAAAATGTACATTTTGTAAATTATACTTTATATTGTGTGACCTGTTTATTCATATATACTTATTCATGCAGCTTTGTAAATCATTGATGTCGGTTTTTAATGCTGATGGCACTGAAATTTGAATAACGTTAAGATTAGTGAGTTTTTTGTTTTCTAGATGCAAGATTGTACAGTACCTCAATAACATTTTTATTCACTTTAACTTCCATGTCATATCTTTCTTCATCCACAACATCAATCCTGGCATGAAGCTCTCTGCACAGATCCTACAAGAACATGTAAAAATGTATTGTTTTTAAATTATACAAAAGCACAATAAATCTTGCTCTGATCTAAACCAGAGAAGGAGTTTTTTTTTAAAATAACATCACTTACTATATCTATGACCCATAACCTACTACATACTTTCCCTGGAAATATGAAACAGATAAAATAAAAAAGACAGCTCTCTGTTTGAGACAGTCTTTCTCAAACTACAAATAGTGTAAGAGGACTACAAATCCAAGGAATACATTTTACAGCCATGCATAATAATACCATCAGCTATAGAGGACTACAAATCCCAGCAATACATTATACAGCAAGGTAGAATACCATTAGCTATAGAGGACTACACATTTCAGCAATACATTATAAAGCAATGCTAATACCATCAGCTATAGAGGGCTACATATCCCAGCAATGCAGAATAATTTATTGCTACGTACTCTGTGCTGCCACTCTGCTGAGCCTGATGTCTCAGACGGAGGGCTCCTAGGAGCAGTGTGGCGGGTCTCAGGAGGGGGAAATGTGGGAGAGTAAAAATAGGATTTTTTTTTAACTCACCATGAAATCCTTTTCTCTCTGTTCATTGGAGGACACAGTGGAGATTTTGATCTCTGTACTGATGGGTTATACCGCCACTTGCAGGATTAGGATGCTAGGCACACAAAAAAAAGCTTGGATCTGGGGGTGGCTCCTGCTGGTGGCCACACCCCCATTCAAGACAGCTTAGATAGTCACAAAGCAGTAGAACTAAGGCAGAAAAGGACTCAAAGAAGGGAGGGTGCTGTGTCCACAGAGAAAAGGATTTTACAGTGAGTACAAAAAAATCCTACTTTCTCTTTCATTCATTGAAGGACACAGCGGAGATCTTGATCTTTGTACCAATGGGACGTCTCAAAGCAGTGTCCATCAAGGGGCGGGAACAATAAAAAATTGAATAACAAAAACCCCAGGTAACACAAACTAAGCAGCCACCTGAAAACTTTGCAACCAAAGGAAACATCTGCACATACAACATCAACTCTAAACGAGTAGAGGTGTGTGCCAGCGACTAGGTATCCACCTTACAGATTTTAGAAACAGGTGCTTGATGTTGAAAAGCCCATGTGGTCCTAACTGCTTGAGTAGAATGAGCTGTAACTGGAAAATGTGGAGATTGTCCTATAAGATCATAAGCCTGAACAAAAACTTGTATTGTCCAACAAGAAATGGTAGCTAAGAAACATCTTCTCCTTTCTGTAGGTCATCAATAATCACAAAAAGAGAATCTGACTTGCGGAAACATTCGGTAGCAGACAAATAAATTCTCATTGCCTTAACTACATCCAGACAGATGAGTGCTATTTCTTTAGGTTGGGCTGAACGAGAACAAAGTGAGGGTAGAATATCCTCATTGGGATGGAAATCAGATACTGCCTTAGGAAGAAAGGAATATCTAGGAATAACTACATCATTATGTTAACTCAAAAAAGGAGGTTTACAACATAAGGCAGCTATTTCAAAACTCTGAGCCACCTTCTGTGACAAATGTAATAAAGGGATATCATTAATACTCTGAAAAGAAGAATTCTGTAAAATGAGAGAACCAAATTTAAGTCCCATGGAGGTAAAGTAGACTTCACTGGAGGAGAAACATGTACAAACCAAGGAATTAAAGGCTAATGGACGCAGGAAAAAGATTGCCAATGCCGAAACCTGGCCTTTAAAGCCACAAAAGGCAAAAATCTGAGCAACCAAAGAGGCATGAGGAGAAATACTGTGCATGATGATCAGAAGATTCATTTTCATATCTGACTGAGAATCTGCCTGAAGAAGGAAGCCATCATAGTAAGCCACCACCAATATCCCTTACTGTCTCAACAAGGCAAGGACCAGTGGCAAGACTTTGGTGAATACCCATGAGGCATACACAAGGCCAAACAGAAGGGCCACAAGTTGAAAATGGTCCTCCCCCACCACGAAATGTAGGAAAAGCTGATGGGCCTGACAAATCAGAACATGGACGCAAGTATCCCTAATGTCTATATTTACCAGAAAAGCCACCTGATGAAGAGTAGCGATCACTGAGCAGATAGACTCCATTTGAACATTCAGACCTTGGCAAAGATGTTCAGGGCTTTGAGATCCAAAATCAGAATAGCCTTGTCTATTTTGGGTACTGTGAAAAAATCTAAATAATATCCTTCAGAATTTTTGTGATGGTGGGATTGGAACAATTACTCCCATTTGAACCAGATTTCTTACAGCTGACCATAAATCACGTAAGCAAATCTGAGTTGATTGAAGGTTTGAATGAAAGAACCTTCAATCAACTCAGATTTGCTTACGTGATTTATGTCAAGCTAGAGGAGTAGTATTAAACTCTATTTTGTATCCCGATAAAGCCACTTTGCAAACCCAGCTGTCTGACATTTGAGACAAGCCCAAGTCCATCAAGAGAAATAAGTGTCCCCCCACTTCAGCTGGGCAGATGGGGGAAAGCTCCCGTGCAGGAGAAGTCTTCTCAGCGAACTTGGAAGACTTAGTTTGCCCAGACCACTGGAGAAGATGGACTTACCAGACTTTTATCTGAGGATCATTCAGGATGAAAAATATGTTTTTGAGGCTAAAAGGGAGGGCCTTGTTTACGCCTAGGTACCTTACCTTAGTTACATTTTTATTACAGTTTAACAGTTACCTCACTAGATATTTTTTATTTTATCGTCCAGCGTTGCCCTAAACATTGATCCCCCTTTATAAGGTACATCCGTAAGTAGGGATGTCCAGATATCAATGCTAGCATCATAATCGGGCCCGATACAGGGCATTTTGACAAGTACTTGTACTTGTCAAAATACTCTGTCCTAATATATTAGTACCCGTCCACTAATTAGGCAGGTTTGGGCTGAGGACACTGGAATTCGGGTTCCAGCGGTGTGGTCCGTCACAGTCTGGTCAGCCACAATATATGGTGAAGAATGACAGCCAAAAAATAAATTCTGGAAATTAGAGGTCCAGTTCCTGATGCAAACTTTTTGGTCATTCTGTGAGCGTTTGGGATACAGAGACTGTGGCCATAACAGGACATAAGGCTGATCCAGCAACTGTATACATCGTGCTCGCTACTGATTCTGCTTTCCTACCTGTTGGATCTTTGAAAGAAGGAGATTCCTTGACTGGAATCACAGTAGTCTTATTCAGCCTGGACACTGGTGAGTCTACAATAGGAGGAGAAATACATTTTTTTTTTTTAAACAGAAAATTCTTTAAAGGATAACGCAAAGAAAAGCTCTTTGTGAATAAAGTCTTAGTCAAACGTTTAGACTTATTTGTACCAAATGGAATCAGAGATTCCAAAGACGCATCAACAGAGACTTCAATATAAGCAAACTCCATGCAGTTAGAGTCTTGGCTGGGTTTTGAACCAGCCAAGACAAGCCAAGACCTCTGCTAACCACTAGGATACCATGCTGGCCTTCTTAAAAGTCATGCAAACCGAATGAATAAGTGCAGAGACCACTACTTTCTCTTGCGAAATAGATGAAAAGGTTTCATCATCACTAGCGAGTGAGGTTGATCTGTTGCCCCCTCACATTTCCCAGAAGATGCAGGAATCCCAGAGAAAACCTTCTTTTGTAGATGAATCTGAGGGTGACGGCGACTGTGGGTAGCACTTTTCACTCTCCCTTTTAGGCCTGGTTCACACCTGAACGCTTTGTAGCGCGTTCAACGCTCGACGAACGCTCTACAAAACGCTCAAACATTAAATCCCATTGTATTCAATGGGTCTGGTTCACACCTTATTTCACCGTATTTCCGCCCGTCCGAACGCGATACAAAACGGCCTACACCCAAAGAAGTACATGTACTTCTTTGGGGCGTTTTGGTCTCGCGTTTCCATTGGGATACAGCCAAGTAGCCCTCAGAAACGGGCGTTTGTCGCACGTTTTTTTACCGCGAATCGCGGTAAAAACGCGTGACGCGAAAACGCGTGGCAAACGCACATATTCAATACGCCTAGGTGTGAACCCAGCCTTAGTAAAAACTTGCTCCAAATGTGTAACAAAAACATTCCCGAAACAAAAGAGTTTCCATAGAAAAAAACTCAGGGTCCCTGATTCCCCCAAAGCAGAACCTGAGAGTGAAGTAGGGGTCTACAAATATTTACAGGTGGGAAAAGTAGAGCCTGACCCGGGAGAGAGATTAACTCCTTCACATGTCACACAGCCCACCTGTAGTGCCCACTGCATCAGCACCGGTCCCCTTAACAGGGTCCTCACTGCCCCAGCTCACCAGGGATGAAGGGGGTCCCATCCCGTTTACCACCCCTAGAGAAATTAGTCTGTTTCAAAGTGCAGCCGCTGCATCTTCTGTGCTGACCGAAAACCAAAAAGCCTGGGAAGCAGCGCTGGCGACGTCACCTGCAACCTCAGAAGCAGGAACCCACACACAGCACAGAGTGGCCACTGATGACAGCGGAATCAGTACCACTCTCTCAAAGAAAAAAATCTTGCACAATACTAAGAGTTGGGAGGTGGAGCCTGCTCAAGATGGCGCTGAGCTGTGAGTAGCTGAGACATCCACGTGCCCCCTCCCAAGCCGGGTGAATAGGAACCCACAATAGCAGAGCACTGTTGCCGATTAAGCCGGCATGCTGATCCGGTACTTTGACTTGGCGGCGGTGACGGGAGCGAGGAGCCAGTACTCACGATTGAGCGATGGGGGGCAAGAGAGCCCAGAAGAAAGACGCCACGAAAACTCCCCGAGCAGGAGCAATCAGACGGCTCTGGGCACCGGAACCAATGTCACAGGGACGCGGCGCACGGGAAGGAGGAGAGGTTGCACAGTCAGCTGACGAAGCGCCGTCTCCAGGACACCGCGGAGACCGGACAGCAGGAGACATGGATGGACGACTCAGCTCACCAGCATTTTCGGGGACCTCGGACGATTCCCATCAAGGTACTCCACTATCGCTACACACATTAGCCCAATCCCTACGCACAAAAGGAGACCTTACTAAGTT